TAAAGGAAGCAATAGAGGATCCAAATAATTATTATTTCTATCCACATGGCAACAATATCACGAGTTGTCAACGTATTTAATTCTTGGCTCATAACCCATAGTAATCATACATCATGCAATATCATTGGAGTTCTCAGACTCATTTAATCACTTACTAAATTCTTAGTCATTAAAGTTACTCGGTTCATTTAGTAGCCAAATCAATATCCCAGTTACTTCAGAGTCTTTCCGAGTAATTCAGATGCTTCAGCGTTTCGGATACATGTTGTACTTCCATTTAGTTCACTTTGGTCATTTACTAAAATCATTATTTTGTGTTCGTGGATGATTTATCTCACAAATATCCACTTCTTAATATCGAATGCGCTCTAGCGTTGAGATGAGCTGAGTACTTTCATAATTATCATCAATCCCAATTTAAGGAGTCGAACAAACATTCAAGTTGTATTTATGCCATTCAGGTACTGACATAGCATTAATGTTGGTCGACTGGCTTAAACTGTGTTCCATAACTTTTAAAAGGCAATGCAACATTCAGGTTTATTTGGATTCCTTAATGAATCCAATTCATTTACTTATCCTTGGTCATAAGGTTATTTTAGTCATTTTGGTGCTTAATGTTGTTCTTGTCATTTCATAGCTTGAGGATATCCAATCTTTTCTGGACTTGATGAAATCCGTGGGTCATTTGCATTCCAAGGGTATTTTGGTCATTTTATAAATACAAGGTATTTCAATCATTTCCTTTAGTCCGATCTTATTATTTAATTTAGACTTATCATCTATTTCATTCCCTTCGAACAATTCTGACATAAGAGCACTCTCGATTAATTTATTCTTCAAGCAAATAGTCATAACTCAGAGATTTCCAGGTTAAAAGTCCATTCAGATACTACTGACGAATTATCAGGGATTTTCCATACAAAAGTAGGATTTTAACCATTAAATCAGTAATTTATCGATTTAAGTACAAATTCTCAGGTTACCTTCTCATTTAGAGTAAACTTGGACTATTTTTTACCTCTCAAGGGCATTTTCATAATTTTGTAACCAGATAATTTCGGTATTAACTCTTAACGTAAATAATTATAATTTAGAGATCCTATGGTCAATTACTTTCCCGAACATTCTCTGATCTTGAAATGATTCCTTAACATACTTCTAGTATCTTGCACAAACTCTCTTGGGGTTAAAAACTGGTTATCCAAATTTCCTAAGCAAAACTAGTATTTCTATGCACATCAGTATTTTCATCAGATCAATATGTCTTTACAACTTCTTATCCAACTTCCATGGTCAATTCTTGTCTTTTTACAAAATAAGAGTATTTTCATAATTTTACATAATCGAAGTATTCTCATAATTTATCGCTTAAAACAAATTCGATTCAAATCCATCCATAAACAAACAAGCATAATAGTCCAATCATATACATCCATGCATTTTTCCATTTTCAACATGTTCTATAAAGCATAAAGAGGTAGAAAAGTATTACCTCGATTTTCGTGCCATACTGATTGACCATATAAATTCCATTTGAACGCCTTCGATCTTTAATATAACTTCCAATAATTCCTCAAATACATAACAACATAAATTTCATCAAAAACGGAGCTTAATTTCGAAAAACAGATCGAATCGGTTGATTAATCAGTGAAAAAATAGCTTACCGGGTTCGAATTTGGCGAAACGGACTTCAAAATCGGATTCAGGACGTCAACAAAACCCAAAATATTACTCTTGAATTCCAGCTCACCAACTTGATTTCTAGCTTCCAATCTTTTTCTAACGGACAATCTATCGTACAAATACGACTTCAGTAATTTTCCTCGTCATAAAAATAACTTGTTAGGATCTAATTAATAATTTGGGGACCCAATTATTAAAATTAAAAATCTTGTGAATCCACTATACTATTTAATTTCTAAAATCAGAGACTAAATCAAATTAATTTAAACTATTAACTAAAGATAAAATTATGTAAATACTTATGAACAAGGTTAAGTTCTTACAATTCATGGATGACTAACTTGGTGATTTCACCCTTTTTCCCTTTTCATATTTTCTTCTCTAACAGAATACTCATCCATCCATTTGCAAGGAATTATCGGCAGATCATCGATGACCACTACGTCGAGGCGCGACGAGGAGCTGATTTCAATGGCACTGGTGATGGGAGCCACGACCATCCGATTGATATCGAATCGGTGAAAAAAAACGAGAAGGAGGCTTGAATTTCGATGAACTTTCGAGACCTCTTCCATGGCTAACTATAACGTTTCATGATAAGAGGAAGGTTGGGATTGGGTTGCGAAATGACAATGATCTCACTGATATACACGGTGCACGCGATGACTGACCGGAGATGAACTTGCCGGTGACGAACGAGGGTGAAGTTTCATGGTTTTTGGGTACTGGTTTTGTTTTCCCCCAATGGAGAAGATGATTAGTTACTGCCATCTATAGTTTATAAAATAATTTTAATAATTTAGTATTGAATAGTACCCTATACTAGTTGACAACAGAATGGCTCCATTATTATAGGACACGGTTTCAATCCCACCAAACACTTATTTATTATAATTTTTTCCCATTAACATCACTAAAAGGGAGGGACAATCTCATGCTTGGGTCTTTGAACTTTCAGGAATTTCAAAAATTATTATAAAATTTTGAGAATCATACAATTTGGTCTCTAAAAATTATTTACCCCAATTTCAGGGTGTGACAGTTTTGGTTGGCAACCTTTTCTCAAGTTGAGTGCAATCCGGTTTTTAAGATTTTGGTAGAGCGAATCTAAAAATTAAGTTTCTAATAATAAGTGTTGGAAAAAAATAAAAATGAGTAAAAATAAATTAATTTTCCTGTAAATTGTATTTTTTATTATGTTTAAAAAATTATCTAATAAATAATCAAATTTCAAATGAAGAACATCAAGAAATTTTATTAAATACTAAATTACTCACACAAAATAATTTCTACGAGTATTTCTATATGTAAAATCACTAATAATAGTTTCTACATCAATTTGGTCTAACATATTTTTTTAATACATAAATTAGCTAGATTGTTTTACCTTTCTTGTGACATTGACGACCTCATGTAAGTTTTCAACAATTTTAATTTTGAAAAATTTCTTTTAGTAGATGTAACTGTCGCCAACATAGTTAAGAGTAAGGGTACTAATTGAGTTGAGCAGCTCGTGAGCAAGTCGAATTTGACTCGGTTAAAATTTGGTAAACACTCGACTCGATACCTTAAAGAGTCGAGTCGAGCAAGGTCTAACTCTACTCGATAAGTTCGCGAGCAACTTGTTAATTTTTTATAATGTTTTGAGATATTGATTATCTTATTTATAGGATTGATTATATATTGTTAAACTTCTTTTTTTCCAAAAAAAAAACTATTGTTATGTATTAATTTGGTGTATCTATGTATTATTACTTTGAGTTTAAATTTTTGAATCCATTCGCACAATATTTTGATCATCCTTTTGTTCAAATTGTTAATTCATATTTATATTTATAGCTATATAGTATTACTAGATTTTACATATATTTTTAAAAAAACAAGGTAAAAGTTCCGGTGACCTTAACGAGCAACGAGTCGAGTTGAGCAATGAATTTTTTTAACGAGCATGATACAAACAAAATTTTATTGAGCTTAACGAGAATCGAATCAAGTCGAGCACGAGTTAAACAATTTTTGAGTCACGTTAAGTTTGTGATTAACTCGCTCGATAAATATCCTTAGTTAAAAGTACTCGATGCAAATGTCATCCATTGAAAATAGAAGGTGGAGAAGACCGTTTATGAGGAAATTCATGAGATTGAATCGGAATTTAAGAAATAAGTTGAGAGAATAAGAAGTCACCAATAATGGGATTGAACTTGAAAAGTAGAGATTGAAATGGACTTGGTTAAAAGAAGTGAGTGATGTAAAGAAAAATCTCTAATTTTTAGTTGCTTGCACAGTTCCTAACTTATAAGAGCATTTTTTTCAATTAAATTTGGAGTTTTTAATTATGAACTCTGGAGAGGTACCCCTCCTACCTATGTTCAGCTACGGGCTTGATTGAGTGCTTCAGTTTAGCTCGAATTTCTCGTGTTTTTTATGTATTATGTCTCATGTATTGATTTTTTTAAATAATAAAATTATTTAATATTAGTTTGTTTATAAAAACACCTTAAATACAAGATGAAGCATATGCTACAAATTATAGAACTGCCAAGATCCTAATAACACCTTATTACGTCACATAAATCAGGAAAATTCTTAATTTCATCAAGGTGAAACTGATACCGGATCAATGAGCAATGAAGCAACCCCATCTTTTGTAACTTTCCCAACATGTGTGTACTGGTCATCTCCATCCTTGTAAAGAAACTCGATGACCCTCGTAAGATTGAGGCTTCGTCTGAGAACCGGCATCGGAATAACCTTTGTCGTCTCACTAAATATGATCTCGTAGTTTATATCTTTCCAAGCATTCTCCACTTGCTTCTTCAGTTCACTGCATGCCTCTTCTTCTGAAACTCCATGTTGTCTCATGTAACATTCAACGGCCGATTGAACGTGTCCTCTCTCTTGCTCAAACTACATGAATTTATATATAAGTTACTGAAATTACCTCTAACCAAATTCGAAAAACAGAATGTACCTTATGTGAAGCGATATCGTCCATGAGACGGCAAACGACGGACGAAGCAGAGACGATTTTCGGGTTGCTAAAAGCCCATTTAAAAATCTCAGGTGTCACTGAATCTTCCATTCCAATAAAAGACGCTATTGTCAAGAGGACATATCCTGCAGTTACAAGTGCGTTCCTCATGTACTCCTCCATCGTTGGTACATACTTCTCTTGGTACCATTTGTTTTCCACAAAATAAGATTCTGATAATTGCTTAAACTATGCAATAAAAAAACATCATTAGTTGTTCGTTCTATTACCTTTAAACTTTTCTAAAGTATTAAGTATACTCGTATTACATATATACTCGTATCTGATGAAGAGTTTACCGTGTCTTTCGCGTATTGGAAACGATATGATTTTCCTTGCTTTGCCATCGCTTCCTCCAGTTCTCCATAAAAATCTAACATTGGCTTGTAGAAGAATTTCATGTATTCCGGAAGTTGATCTAAACAATCAGCATCCCACCTGAAAATCGGAAGCTTGATCATTAGATTGCCACATTAAATCAAATCGTCATAACGGTTATATATATTCATGTGTAAATATATAAGTTGTTGACCTCTGAATTGCAATCGTAAGGAGTTCAAGTTCTTCATATGTGCCATATGCATCGTATATGTCATCCATAATTGATATCATGAGTAGTATTTTTGTTAATATCTCTCTAGCGTAAGAGTATTGAGGCTCAAAGTACACTCCCAATATCCAAAAGTAACCTTCCACCGATCTATTTCGTATAAATGGAAGCTTTGTTTCGACATCTAAATCTTTCCACCACCTGAAATAAAACTCGTTATTAGTGAATTATTTGTCCTGATAATTTGGGTTAAATTTTAGTATTTGAATGAGTAATATATTGCCTGGAGATGTTGCTTAGCTCCTCCTTGTGTAAATCTTGCAACAAGTTGAAATCCAACTCTGCAAACTTCAACAGCGTTTTGTCATGTGAAGCATCTTGTTGATAAATGGGTATGAATCGCCTAGCCTCCAACCTCGGCAAGCACTTGGAGATGGGTCGGTTTAGAGCATTGGAGACTAAGGCCGAAAGGGGATATTCGATACTGCCTGCAGCTTTGGCTGACTGTAGATGACTGATGGTGAAAACAAGGGCTTCTTCGAGTATATCCTCACCATGTACACGTAAATGTGCAGCTTCGTATAATTCTAGCAAGCCTTTCACATCACTTGTTAAAGAGTTTTTGAAGTTTCCTTCTCCATCTTTGAACTTGTTGAATATCTCTGCTCAATCCAAGTAGGTATTGGTAATATCCGAAAGGTATAATGTTGAAAAACGTTTCTAACGTTTTGACTCATATTCTTTTATTGGAATGTTTTGTTTTAGAGTAAAAAGATTGCAAACGTTTAAATAAATAATCACTTTAGTTCTTTTTTTTTTTTTGAAGCATTTCGGCCCTAACGGGCCTCTATTTTAGAGCATTGACAGTTTGTTGATTAATGACTCCTATCCATGGACGAGTCTTTTTGTCCCAAAATGAAACGTTGAGTGTCAAATGTTCCAAAAAAATTCCAAAGTGACTATTTAGTAGAATATTAGGGACATTTTTTTACTTAAAATGAAATGTTGAGGATCAAATTGCTCAAAAAATTAATAAGGGCCAAAGTCAATATTTAATTAAAGGGTAAATTACGCATTTAGTACCTAAATTATTAGTTTTGGTCTGTTTTAGTAATAAACTTTCATTTTTTTCAGAACTATACCTAACGTTTAGTTTTTGTTTCATTTTAGTACCCAGTTGTTAAAAACTTAACGGACGGGCTGATGTGGTATAGCTCCAGTGGAAGGATGACTAATCTGAACGGTGGACCATGAGAGAATGATTAGTCGACCAATATAGTCCAGTTTTAAGCCCATCGGATGGTGGACCGTGGAGATTAGAGGATGAAAAAATTGAAGAGTTCGTCGTCAATTTAAGGAGATTGAGGTGTTTTCAATAAAATGGAGATCAGAATTGTGTTCAGGGGGTCGAAATGGTGCAGACTGAAAAGTTTAGCTTCATCAGCCGATGGATGCGATGACCGACGACTGTACACGCATCGGGCGGTGAGCTCGTCTGTTAAGGTTTTAATGGCGTGTACTAAAATGAAACAAAAACTAAACGTTATGTATATTTTAAAAAATGGAAGTTTGGATACTAAAACGAATTAAAACTGATAGTTTAAGTATTAAAATGGATCAAAACTGATAGTTCTGGTACTAAATGAGCAGTTTACCCTTAATTAAATGTTATGGCCTTTTGTCTTTAAATGAAATGTTGGAAGCTAAAATATTCTTAAAACTAAAGACCAAAATGACTATTTAATCAAATGTTCAAATCTACGTTATGCCTATCCAAAATTACGTATAAAGTACTAGGGAAGAGCGGACTCACCACTCGGAACATTAAACCCATTCTCTCTGAGCAATCGAAACCGAAGAGAAGTAACCTCGAGATGAGTTTGGTCCAGTTCCCAGTCTTGTTCAAAAATATTGTGCAATGCTTTCTCTATCTCTCTTTCGAAATGGTAACTCACTCCTAACCGTTCGATTGTATCAATCAAACGTAATTTGTGCAGTAACTCATCATGCATGGCTTCCTTAACCATCCTCCTCACTTCTTCCTTCAATTCTCCATGTTTTTGTGGAATATCACTAAAGTCCTGCACAATTTAACGTACAAAAAAAAAGATTAATATGTTGGGGAATTCACCATCTAAATCAAGGACGAACATAAGGTTTTCAGGGGACGACTACTCTCGGCCGCCTCCTCAATTCATCACTGATCTAAATTGTTTACCGTTTTAGATGGACATGAAAGGAAAATGTTGCCCCAGACGCAGGGATGAAAGTTGGCTATAGGACGATTGTGGTTGGACATGGATTGATGGGTTGAAGAAGGAGGCATTGACGAATAAATTTGAGAAGACATTTCTTCAGATAATCGGTGTAATTCAAAGAGCTCTTATTTTTGTAAAGGATAACACTTTAGGGAACGTCGGGCACGATCGTATGATAGAAGCTGTCCAAGCTTAGGAACCGAGCCAAGCTTTGGGTTTTATGAATAAGAGCCTTGAAGTGTTTTATAGTGTGTGTTCGACAAATTTAATAATATATGGGATTTGTGGCTTGAACTTGGATAGAAAACGTATGGTGGTATTAAATTATTCGTGTTATTTACGTTAAATTGATTTAATTGTTTGAATTTTAAGTTTAAAATTTAAAAGTTCACAGAAATGTCCCAACCACCGGTCGTTCCATCCATGAAATGTCATTATCTCCTCAGCTTATTTGCTTCTAGCCACTCAGGCCACCGCAACTTGTTTCTCTTTCAAAATAATGGCTGATATTGCTGCTGCCACTCCTCTTTCTCTTATTTTTGAACGTGTTAGAAAGATGGTTTTCTATGTTGTCAAAGTCACAAACAAAAGGGAGAAATTTCACCGAAAGAAACTGTCCACACAAAAGAGGTGAATTACTCTATGGGGATGTAGATTTATAGGATTGAAAAATAAAACTTAATAGATAATTTGACCCTAAAGTATGACTCGATTTTCATTTTAGCCCTTGATGGTTTTTGGTTAAATATGATTATGGAAGTTTTATACCCTCGACGATTTTGACCCATTTGTCTAACACCGTTAAAATAATTAAGGGTCAAATTTAGAATAAACTATACATTAAGGGTTGTTGATGGTAACGAGGTTATGGTGGCTGTAAGTAGTTCATTCTTTTTAACATGGACGTAGAGTTACAGCTGGTGATATTGATGGTGAATGGAGAGAGGAAGAAGAAAGGTTTCAGAGTGAACTAATGAAGAAAAGAGAAGAGAAATACTTCATCTTGTCTGATATATGAGTTTGTACATTGACCCTTCGTACGTGTTGATGTCAAACATGGATCATGATTGTTATTCATAGACTAATAGAGTGTATAAATGTGGCCATCAGATTTGACCTTGATAGATCTCTTGAGTTTGTCAACAGTCATGTTAAGAGTTTACAGTCGGGCGTGCGACCCTTCAAAGGTGATTTTGGTAGGCGGAAGAGTTGTTAGTGAATAAGGAGTATCTTCGGAGGTATAACATTTTGTGGACTTGTCTTGTGGGAGTCTTCTGAAGGAAATCTTGGTAAGTGAAGAAATTGGTAGTGAATGAATATTTACAAAGGTATAATAAGGGTCAATCGGAGAAATTGTAATGTATGATGAAAAAATAATAGTTGAGTGATCAAAATAAAATAAAAGTAATAATTGAGATACTAAATGTGTAGTTTATTCCACTCCGAATCTTATTTTTTCTGTAATATATCTCCTTAATTTCTTGCTTGAAATAAACCCAACTCTCCTTTTCTTCTAGTTGTTTCTTACGTATAGGGAGATAGTCAAAATGTCAAAAAGGTAGACTTATTACAAATGAAAAAAAAATGACAATAAAGAATATCGAGGGTCAACAACTAATATTAAAGTTGGTGTCGCTACCGATCAACAAAGACAAAAAGAAAAAGAAATGAACGACTTATCAACGAGAGAAAACTAATAGTGCTGATCGATTCTATAAGATACATAACTATTAGTTACAAATGAACTAAAACTTCAAATATCCATAACTATTTTTGGTAAAACTATATTTTAATCCCTAAACTTTTACCTTATTTACAATTTGGTAATATTGATCCAAAATAATAAAAAATCATAATTAGTAGTAACATATGAACCAAGATCTCGACGGTTCGTATTTGACTTCTTTGAAAAAATTATCATTTTGCCCCTCATAATTAGAGATTTTATAATTTAGTTTAAATCTTAAATTTATAACAAATTGGTCACTCGACTGTTAATCATCGTTACTGGAATAAATTAATATTAATGTGACACGTAATTCTGCTTTTTTGGTAATATTTGACCATGTAAGATCATTTTGGCCGGTCCTCACTGTTGGGGAAATCGGGTTATTTCCCACACGAACGTAGTTTTAAAATTTACCTAAAATGTCAAGATCAAACCACCAAAGGTTGCACATCGGATAAACCTGTCAAACTATTGAATATTGAAACACAATGGAAAAACCGAATAAAAAACAATAAAGGAGAGAATACACCAAATTTACGAGGTTCGACGAGAATATCGTCTACTCCTCGGGCACCACACCGGATGATAACTTCATTATATCACCAATATTACAACAAATGGAATTCTTTAGAATTCCCAAAGTGGGAGAATGAAGAATACAAGAGGAATAGAGAACTTGTTTTGGGATGATTTCTAATGAAATACTTAGGCCTATTTATAGTTGAGTTTTAAGGACTAAACTTATAAATAACCTAATATTTTAGGGATCAAACATGAAAAATAAGTTGGCCACCTACCAAAGAATTTTCCAATGTGTACAAGTTAGCCACCAAATATGAAATTCCCATATTCAAAGTTTGGCCACCAACCAAGATGAAATTTCCAATAAGTTGGTCACCAACCAAGATGAAATTTCTAACTTGCCAAGTTAATTTCAAGTCAAATCTAACAAATCTCCACCTTGGCTTGAAATTACCAAGCCTACTGAACTTCTTCAACTCCCCAAATTTGTAGTGCCTCTAATTGCGCTCACAAGCCACACACCCGAAGAGGTTCATACTTTCAAGATGTTAATCAAGTTCAAACAATGATTGAACTTGATTATGTTACCACCTTGGTCATCATATCTGCAGGATTTTCTGATGTCGCAATTTTCTGAAGTAGAATATTTCCTTCTTCAAAGATCTCCCACACAAAGTGATACCTCACGTCGATATGCTTAGTCCTTGAATGGTAGACTTGATTTTTCACTAAGTGAATAGTGATTTAACTATCACAATAAGACTAATGTGACTTTGAACAACTCCCAAGTCTTCCATCAACCCGTTAAGCCAAATTGCTTCCTTTACAGCCTCTGAAACTACCATGTATTCTGCCTTTATAGTAGACAAGCTACCATAGATTGCAATGTAGACTTCCAACTTAGTAGAGCTTTAGCAAGAGTAAACAAATACCCAGTAGTTGATTGACGTTATCCAAATCACCAGCATAATCGGAATCAACATATCCAACCACACACTGACCAAGTGCTTCATCTAGTTCAAAAACTAAACCAACATCCACGGTTTGTTGGAGATACCATAGAATCCATTTCACAGCTTGCCAATGTCCTTCTCCAGGATCATGCATGTACCTGCTCACAACTCCAACTGCTTGTGAAATGTCAGGACGCGTACACACCATTGCATACATCAAGCTCCCAACTGCATTAGCATATGGAACTTTTGCATATACTCTCGTTCTTCGTTAGTTTTAGGATAATTGAGAACTAAGTTTCAAATGAGAAGCCAGTGGGATACTTACATGTTTGGTATTTTCATTCATGCCAAAACATTGTAATACCTTTCTCAAATACTGGTTCTGTGTTAAACAAAGCTTCCCTCTTTGTCTATCTCTGCTTATCTCTATACCAAGAATCTTCTTGGCTTCACCTAGATCTTTCATCTCAAACTCTTGATTCAACTGAGCCTTTAATTTGTTTATCTCATTTTGACTCTTCGAAGCGATCAACATATCGTCAACGTACAAGAGAAGATAAATGAAAGATCCATCTTTGAGCTTTTGCAAATACACGCAATGATCATATTTGCTTCTAGTATACTTTTGCCTCCTCATAAAGCTATCAAATCGCTTGCACCACTGCCTCGGAGATTGGTTCAATCCATATAGCGATTTGTTCAGCTTACAAACTCATTTCTCACGACCACCATCTTTGTATCCTTCTGGCTGAGTCATATAGATCTCCTCTTCTAAATCACCGTGGAAGAAAGTCATCTTTACATCAAGTTGAGCTAGCTCCAAATTCAACTGTGCTACCAAGGCCAATAATATTCTAATGGAGGAGTGCTTCACAACAGGGGAAAATACTTCATTGTAGTTGATTCCCTCCTTTTGAGCGTAGCCTTTAGCTACCAACTGTGCCTTGTAGCGAACATCTTTCTTGCTATGAGATCCATCTTTCTTTGTAAATACCCACTTTCATCCAATTGCTCTTTTACCTTTCGGTAATTGTGTCAGTTTCCAAGTGTTGTTCTTTTGGAGAGATTGCATTTCTTCATTCATGGCACTTTTTCAATTATCAATTTCCAAGCTTTGTACTGCGTCTTGGTAAGTGATAGGGATATCATCATCAACAACTGGAAGAGCATAGGCCACCATATCAATAAATCGAGCAGGTCTACGAATTTCTCTCCTTGGCCTTGTAACTGCAAGTGGTTCTGGTGTCTCCAATGGTCCTTGGGTTTGAACCTCTTCATCTTTTAATTCTTCTATTTGAGTTGAAAAATCAGCTGCATCAACTTCTGGGATCATCGTATGCTGAAACTCCACCTGTTTTGGAGTATGCTCCACCTGTTGCGGAGTACTACTTGTCTGGACAACTTCATTTGTTAACTTCTTTATTAGGGCATATTCATCAAAGGTAACATTTCTGCTACAAATTATCTTCTTGGTGTCTAAACACCAAAGGCGGAATCCCTTCACTCCATGGGTGATTCCCATAAAGAGAGCCTTCTTTGCTTTCGGATCAAGCTTGGATTCCTTCACATGATAATAAGCAGTGGATCCAAATAGATGTAAGGAATCATAATCAGTAATAGGTTTTCCATACCATACCTCCAATGGTGTTTTTCCTCCTATCGCTGATGACGGCAGACGATTGATGAGATGACCAACATATGTCACAGCCTCAGCCTAAAATGCCTTGCCTAACCCAGCATTAGACAACATACATCGAACTTTCTCCAATAATGTTCGATTCATACGCTCTGCCACCCCGTTCTATTGTGGTGTATTTCTAACAGTGAAGTGTCAAACAATACCATACTCGTGGCAAACATCAAAGAATGGGTCACTTTTATATTCCCCTCCATTGTCCGTCCTAAGACGTTTGATCTTTCTACCAGTCTGGTTCTCGATCATATTTTTCCATTTTAGGAAAATTTGAAGCACTTCATCTTTAGACTTCATCGGATACACCCAAACTCTTCTGGAAAAGTCATATACAAAAGTTACAAAATAATGGTTTTCTCCCAAAGACGATGTCTTTGAAGGACCCCATACATCTGAGTGAATATAATCCACAATATCTTTTGTATTATGTATAGTGGTGCCAAACTTCACTCTCTTATGCTTTCCCATAACACAATGCTCGCAAAAGTTCAATTTGCAAGCCTTTGCACCTTTCAACAATCCTTTATTTGCCAGAATTTGCAAGGATTTTTCTCCAACATGTCCCAACCGCATATGCCACAACTGGGTTGCGTCCAAATCATCACCTCCGGAAGTTGCTGCAACTGCTCCAATAATCGTACTACCTTGATAGTAATACAAATTATTTTCCCTGATGCCCTTCATCATCACAAGTGCGCCATATGTGACTTTTAAAACTCCATCTCTCATAGTGACTACTGAGCCTTTGGATTCCAAGGCTCCCAACGAGATAAGATTTTTCTTCAAACTGGGCATGTATCGGACATCCGTCAGAACTCTGGTTGATCCATCTTGATTCTTCAATTGAATTGAACCTATCCCAACAGTTTTACAGGCATTGTCATTGCCCATATAAACAACTTATGTATTTAGTTCTACTAAATCGGAGAACCACTCCCAATTAGGGGACATATAATAGGTGCAACCCGAATCTAATATCCATTTATCTGAATGGAATGTTGTTGATGAAGCAACCAATGATATGTTAGAGTCATTTACATCATGCTCTGCAACACATGCATCTGGAGCAGTCTTTCCTTTCTTCTTCAGTTTTGGACAATCTTTCTTCCAATGGTCTTTCTCATGACAAAATGCACATTCATCTTTTCCTAGTCTGGACTTCGACTTTGATCTCCCTCTCTACTTTGGCTTTTGACTTTTTTTAGCGGCCTCTTGCCACCATGGCCCCCGCTGCTTCGTACTTGCTCTCCTTCTTGGTTTTCTTCCTGAGTTCATAACTATACAAAGCAGTAGTTACATCTTTAAGGGTAACATTATCCTTACCATGAAGTAAAGTTGTCTCAAGGTGCTCAAATTCATCAGGAAGAGATGACAACATCAAGGCTAAATCTTCATTTTTGAAGGTTTCATCCATGCCTAATAAGTCTACCACTAGCTCATTGAACGCAATGATGTGTTCATTCATATTGGTGCCTGGTTGATAATCAAATCTGAACAATCTTTTCTTCATGTGGAGACGATTCTGAGAGCTTTTCTTTAGGAATTTTTCCTCCAATGCTTTTCACATCTTACTTTCAGAAGTCTCGTTCTTGTAGCCATACTTTTGCTCCCTGGAAAGATAAGATCGAATCGTGTTGCACGCCAAACGATTGATTGTTCCCCATTCTTTCTTCTCCATAGATTCGGGCTTTTCTTCCTCAATGGTGATGTCTAGGCCTTGTTGGAATAAAACATCTAACACCTCGCCTTGCCACATGCCAAAATGACTGGATCCATCGAACAACTCCACCGAGAAATTTACATTTGACATCACCCTCCTCACCGGTCCAGATGAAGAGCTTGATGTCTCAACTGATCCATATTTTGGCATTTTGATTCTAACGAACAATATTCAATATCATAAACTATATCTTTTCAGCAACGGAACCACCAGGATAACCTCAACCGAAGCTCTCATACCAATTGTTGGGGAAATCGGGTTATTTCCCACACGAACGTAGTTTTAAAATTTACCTAAAATGTCAAGATCAAACCACCAAAGGTTGCACAGCGGATAAACCTGTCAAACTATTGAATATTGAAACACAATGGAAAACCGAATAAAAAACAATAAAGGAGAGAACACACCAAATTAACGAGGTTCGACGAGAATATCGTCTACTCCTCAGGCACCACACCGGATGATAACTTCACTATATCGCCAATATTACAACAAATGGAATTCTTTATAATTCCAAAGTGGGAGAATGAAGAATATAAGAGTATAAGAGGAAAAGATAACATTTTTGGGATGATTTCTAATGAAATACTTAGGCCTATTATAGTTG